ACACGACTGGACTAAATGTCAAGGGGAACCTTTACCTTTACTAAGAACAATATACTTTCCCTTTCACATAAACCCTTCAGGTGAACTACAGAAATTGAATCCTAAATGTCAAGGGGAACCTTTACCTTTACTAAGAACAATATACTTTTCCTTTCACATAACCCCCTTCAGGTGAACTACAGAAATTGAAGCCTAAATGTCAAGGGGAACCTTTACCCTTACCTTATCACAATCCACCACGAATTCTCCCAACCAGAATTTTGGCAGCTGTAGCCCCCCCCCCAAGTTAACACAAAACAGGGTCTCTTGTGCTGTACAAACGCAGCCCGTGTAACATGCAAGCCAAGGGACTGAGCATGACTCACCGCTGAAACTCTGGCCACGACATCCCTCGCCACAGCCAGGCCTTGTGCAAAAGTGCGGGCCACCACGAACGCCCGCGTCACCTGCAGCTTGAGCTTCCGCGGCACGTCTCCGAACGGCTTGAGCTGCTCCGTGTACTTGCTGACGCACTCCAGGTACTCGTCCGAGAAGTGATACTGGGGGTTCACCAGGCGGAACATGCGCTCCAGCAGGCGAGCCCAGAAGTCGTTCAGCATTTCCTCCAAGTTGACGTTGCCGCCGGTGTAGTAGCGATTCAACTGCACAAAGAGGTCCGTAAACATTTCTGAGTTCTGCATGTACAGAAGGCCATAAGTCTTTACAAACATGTCGTTCAAGGACTTCTCTGCATTCTCGAGTAATTCTCTGAAGAATTCTGGAGGGAGGAGGAGAAGAACGGTCAGTAACTGGTTACCTGGAGCTTCAGACCAAATTTAACTGAGAAACGTTGGGGCGTGAATTTATGAGCAGATGGCAGCCAAAATTTTAATTACCCACCACGTCTCAAGGTGATGTTACTTCAGAGATAGTGTGGGAAATCAACATTACAGGTGCGTTTGGAGGGGGCCTTCTCTGTGGCTGCTCCCCAGCTGTGGGATGCTACTTCAGAGACAGTGTGGGAAATCGACATCACAGGTGCGTTTGGAGGGGGCCTTCTCTGTGGCTGCTCCCAAGCTGTTGAACTCCCTCCCACTGCAGGCCAGCCTGTCCCCATCTTTGCAGTCCTTCTACAAGAAGGTAAAGACCTTTCTCTTCAGCCAGGAGTGACTGGCTGTCTAAGAGGGGGTTCTTAAAACGGGACTGTTGTGTTTCTGTTGTTTCTAATGAGTTTTTAGTCGAGAAGGGCCTTCGCCTGCTTGCGGAAGGAGAGCAAAGCTGGGGAGGGAGTTCAGTGGGAGGGAGTTCCACAGTCTGGGAGCATCCACAGAGAAGGCCCTGTTCTGTGTCCCCACCAAACCCACCTGCGAAGGTGGCGGGACTGAGAGAAAGGCTTCTCCTGAGCCTCGAGCTTTGAAAAGAACCGCATGGAAACACACAGTCCTGCTCGTTCAAAAGGCTCCAATCTTCCAGACGCAGAAGTTACTTATGGGAGTATCTCCTGCCTCACCATGGCAGGGAAATACAACACCCCCCCCAATCCGAGCTGAAAATAAAGGAGAGCTGTGGGGACTTCAGTCAGAAGACATAATAGGATTTATTTCTGGGAGAGGCTCCTGTGGGAACCCGAAGAAAGCTCGCCAAGAAATGTCAATATCATCCTAACATCAGCAACGTCATCATCTAAAAAGCTTATAATGTGGGACAGATGTGGGCAACATAGAGAGTTATGCTTCATCTCAGAGGTTCTCCTCCTATCCATCCTTTCTGTTCGTAATTATTACACGGTTTAAAATAAGAGGGAACGGGGAGAAGTGAAGGGTGTCAGCCTTTGAATTCCTAGATTCCCATCAGGTGTAGTTCCGTCCGTTTCCCATCACGTGGAAAGGGGTGGTGGTGAGGATAACTCAATTTATTTCATCCACTTGGAACACGGAATCGCTCAGATTTTTGCCTCGCGTCGGCTTGTGACTCATTTTCAAGAAATAACGTTTTCTAATAACAGACGCCTCTGCGCTGAAATCCTCAAAGGAGGCACTGTGTGGACTCGAAATATGTTAGAAGCAGGAGCAGCATGGGAGGGGAGGGTCAGCCGGGCGAGGGGGGGGGAACCTCTTGGCCCGGTTTGAATTTAAACCTTGTTAAAATGTATGAAGCACGCTGCAGCTCCTATTTTCGAAAGTCTTCAAAGTGCTCCGGTACAAACAAAGACGGACTCAGAACATTTTAGGGGTGGAGTGGCCGGTTTTGGGGCCGAGAAGAAGGAAAAACATCTTTTAAAGTTGCATTCTTTCAAAGGATTGGCTTTTAACGCAACCCTGGGCTTGCACTATTCACTTAATGCCGGCAAAAGCAACTTCTCAAGGGATAGAAAAACAGCAGAACAGGGGAAAGTTGCTTTTGGAAACTAAAACCACCAACATCCAAAATCATTTCCCCCTCCTCCCCCCAACCCTGGCACACATATTTAAATTTTCAGGTCCCCCTAAACCCATCCCAGCAGAACGACTTTCCCAACACAGGCACGAACTTGAGGGTTTATTTCCACAGCTAGCGGGCCCTTCCCGTCTGCAATTTCTCTCGCTCCGACTGCACTTCACGGAGATCAGCTGGAGGGTCTGTATTCATTCCTAAGGCACTTCATCACTGAAAAAAGTTGACTTCCTTTCCGTCTGTCTCCCCTCTCCCCCTCAACTCGGATCCCACCAAAACCTTTTCATAAACAAGGTTGCTGGACCGCTCAGGGTGAAAATTGCACCCTTCCTCTGGACGCTTGCTTGCTTGCTTGCTTGCTTGCTTGCTTGCTTGCTTGCTTGCTTGCTTGCTTGCTTGCTTGCTTGCTTGCTTGCTTGCTTGCTTGCTTGCTTGCTTGCTTGCTTGCTTGCTTGCTTGCTTGCTTGCTTGCTTGCTTGCTTGCTTGCTTGCTTGCTTGCTTGCTTGCTTGCTTGCTTGCTTGCTTGCTTGCTTGCTTGCTTGCTTGCTTGCTTGCTTGCTTGCTTGCTTGCTTGCTTGCTTGCTTGCTTGCTTGCTTGCTTGCTTGCTTGCTTGCTTGCTTGCTTGCTTGCTTGCTTGCTTGCTTCATTCATTCATTCATTCATTCATTCATTCATTCATTCATTCATTCATTCATTCATTCATTCATTCATTCATTCATTGTTTTGCCCTGCCATTCTCCTTAGGAAGGACCCAAGGAGGCTTACATCCTAAAGAGACAAGATTTGATGCTAAAACCAGCAAGTATACACAAAAACTGAAAAGGATCAATACAAAAAACATGTTCAAAGCGGTAAGACAGAACGATCCATTAACAAAACCCCACTCAGGCAGGCAGTCCTTCAGGGAAAGCTTGCCTGGAGAGAAAGGTCTTCGCCTGCTTTGCGGAAGAGCAGCAAAGACGGGGCCAGCCGGGCCTCCAACGGGAGGGCGTTCCGAGGTCTTCTTTATTTACAAATAATAAAACCAATAGATTTAATGGGTCTGGTTTCGTTTGCATTTGACAACTGGAATCAAGCCAAGCAACAGTAGGTAAAAAATGGAAGCCCCCCCCCCCAGCCCAACCTCTGTGCTCTGGAGAGATCCGGGAGTGCCAAAGGGAATTAATTAGACTGTTCAACTCAAGGTGGTCCAAGGAAATATTGCAATTCCTTTGCAAGTGTTCTAAAGGTTCTCGTTTCAAACTTAACAAAGGACAGGCAAAGAAAAGGGCTAAATTCTGCTGCTTGGTTCTGAGTTAGATCTCGGTTCTGAGTTAGATCGTCTTTTTTCCAGAGAAGCCCGTCAGTTGGCTGATTAATGAGGAAAAGCGGTGGCCCCGAATAACCCCACTGACCTTGCGGGGAGAAGCCAGTCTGCTATCTTGACAGGTTGAAAGGAGAAATGAATTAACACCTTTGTTTTTTTCCTCCAGAAGTTGGGTTTGATCTCAAACAAATCCTCACACCTTTACAGATTGCTTCCTTGTTTTACAGAGTTGTAAAGGCCTCCGTTTTACAACGGCCAAGCCGAGGGAACTGGACACACTCGTTAAATTATCACGTTCCGGGGCGGGGGCGTGGAGGGGAGGGACACGGAGACCCTGTCTTGGAGGAGGAAGCCGTGTTGGTCTCAGACAAAAATGCAAGGAAAACAGAACGCGACAAGACCAAAACATGTGGCACCTTAGAGACTATTAAATGTTAAGGTAAGCTTTCCAGATGTCTGACGAAGTGGACATGTCCACGAAAGCTCAAAAGATGTAATAGTCAGCCTTTAAGGTGGCACGTGGTTTTGTCTGGTCTTGTTTCTTTGCATTTTGCCTCGTATGGAAAGCTATCTACGCCTGTGTGTGCACATGTGTGTGCGCGCATGAGCGTCTCACGTACCACCCCACACACAAAAAAAATACATGTGTTAGCACTTATCGACACAGGAAGAGACAGCCTGCTTACCCAGATGAGTGGGAAACTTAAGCCTACGATGTTACGCCCTGTCCTGGCGCAATAGCCCATGGGAGAGAGACAGAAATAAAAGACTGAGAAAGTAATGCTTTCTTAAAGCCGTGAAACCAGGTGCTTTTTCTTTCATTTCCCCTCTTTTTAAGGAGAACTGTTCCCTGGAATTCACCGCACAATTGAAGAGGGTGTCACAAGAACGGGGTTTAGAGGCTTTCTATTAAAAAGGGGAAATCTTGGGAGGGTCTGCGAACCTTCCCGACGCTGGCGGGCCTCGGCACTGCCTGTCTTTCTCTCTCGTAACCCTCGGAGAAATGGATCTGCAGCTGGAATCCAGGGAAGGTTGGAGGTGGGGGGGGGAATCAGGCAGCGATCCTCTGCTGTTAGGCTGATTGCGAGAGTAACACAAAGGTTACAGAACGGGGGTGCCTCGTACCCTCCGTGCGCTCAGATGACGCCATTCTTTATCCAACACCCTCCCTTACAACTCAGACTAGAATGAATTTATTCCTTATTTATTTCAAATATTTTTACCCCGCCTACGTTTTTTAAAAGGACCCAAGGCGGCTTGCCATCGTTCAAAGACAATACTTGAAGCTACAAACTGGGTAGAAATACCAGGAAGGGTTCAAATGCCACACTACAGCATGGTCAAGAAAAGCAACACCAAATAATGCATTCAAAGCAATAAGGCACAATAATCTGTTTAACAACCCTGCTGGGGCAAGCAGCCACTAAGGGAAAGCCTGCCTGGAGAGAAAGGTGTGTTTGTCTGCTCGCGGAAGGAGAGCGAAGACGGTGCCAGCCTGGCCTCCAGTGGGAGGGAGTTCCACAGTCTTGGAGCAGCCACAGTGAAGGCCCTCTCCTGTGTCCCCACCAAACGCACCTGTGAGGGTGCAGGGACCAAGAGCTTAACAACTTAGAAAAAGTTGTTTCCTTGGACATCCCCAGCTGATACAACCTTGATGAAACCAATGGAGGCCAATCCTTGAACCAAGTTAGGGCAGATGTGACGTCAAACCACTGTTTGATCCAATTCTGATTGGCAAAACTGGTTTGAAGTGATAGTTTCAGAATTCATCTTGGGCACAAGAGGCAAACTAGGTTTTGCCAAAGGAATCCGGATGTCCAACAATCCATGGTCTGCTTAAATTCTGGCTGTCCGAAGAGCTTCAAATTCTGAGTTCCAAAGTTGATTGCGACACTCTTTGGAAATGAAGGCTTTGCCAGATCACGTTGGCTCACGTGTCTGACTATTTGGAAACACGGATCGCCGTAGGAAGAAGTTTCAGGCGGAGAGGGACTCAATGTCTCTTATGTTGAGAGCTTCCTGGGAGATCTCCAGGTGGGCTCATGAACCATTTTGCTCATTGTTTTATGAACTCTCTCTCTCTCTCTCTCTCTCTCTCTCTCTGTGTGTGTGTGTGTGTGTGTGTGTTTAAAAAATTCTCTTTTGAACCTTACTGATGTTTTAAATGCTCATAATTAGAATAACGACATACTCCACACACACACACACACCCAAGAGAAGACAGGAATCTGGGATGTGATCCATATAGATCACATGATGGCCTTACATGAACCCAGCTGTCAGGTCATTTGTCAGAAACTCTGCTGCATGGCATCAAGGAAGGGAGGGAGGGGGGAAGGAAGGGAGGGAGGGAGGAAGGAAGGAAAAGACAGAAATATGAAAAAGGAAGGACTGATGATGGATGGATGGAAGGAAGGAGCTGATGATGGATGGATGGAAGGAAGGAGCTGATGATGGATGGATGGAAGGAAGGAAGGAAGGAAGGAAGGAAGGAAGGAAGGAAGGAAGGAAGGAAGGAAGGACAGAATCTCACTCATTTAAGCTGTAAAAATGCAGTTTTTGTTCTTTGTGTCTGGGGATGGTCTTACTCAATGTTAGCAGAGATTTGGTACCTACATCTTGTCATAGTTCCAGCCATTCCAACCATCTTGTCACTATACAGTTGTTCGATAATTAAAAAGCAAACAAACTCCAAAGATGTTATGTACCATTAAGTCACTTCTGATGTTCATTGGCTATATGAATAAATGACCGCCAAAATCATTAACAGTGTGGGCAACCCTCCCTCTGCCTAGCTCCGCTAGAAGGGGAGGAATGTGACCACCCCCCCCCTCAGATGGTCTCCTTCCTCCACAGGACCCCTGCTGTGACTGCCAACTGGCTCTGTCTTTATGTTTTATTATTGCCAACTGTCTCACACACACCGCCTGTGTTACTTTTTTCGTGTCCGCCGCAACGCCGCCCGTACGCTGAGCAAAATGTCAAGGTTGAAGCAACCCCCTCCTCCTCCTCCTCCCGAGCCCCCCATCACCACCAGCACCACCACCCCATCCTGATTCAGGGTCGAGGAAAAAATAACTGCCCACCCTTCCTCAAACCCAAGTTTGCAGACCAGGGCAGAGCAACAAAATCGGGGTGTTTACTCATTCCCAAAGTTATCTTTCTATTGTTGTGTTGTAAATTTAATGGGTGCTCAGCATCTGTTCCCTTCAAAGGGAAATGGGGGTATCTATCTATCTATCTATCTATCTATCTATCTATCTATCTATCTATCTATCTATCTATCTATCTATCTATCTATCTATCTATCTATCTATCTACCTACCTACCTACCTACCTACCTAATTATAAATATAAATATTTCTGGACTTCACGCTGGCTGTGGAATTCCAGGAGTCATCGTGTTTAAAAACCTTTCCCAGCTCCTGTTAAGAAGGGAAACTTTGCTCACAGAAGAAGCCCTGATCCTTGGAAAGCAGTTAAGAGAACAGCCCCTCGTGAATCACAGCGCTCTCCTCAGCCGGAGTGGCAACCCCCCCCCCAGTTTCTTTACGAGCGCACACCACCGAAGAACCCAATCAGAAAGACAGCCCCCTTGTCCTGCAGGGAACTAAAGAGACGTCACCAGCACACATTTCTCTCCAAACCACTTGCAAAGCATTTTTGCCTCACTACCCCTGCGTTTGAGTCACCGCTCGGCAAAAATACACCCTGCGGAAAACAAGAATCAGACACTCCCCCCTTCCATCTCCCATCGAAAAAAAAAGGGGGGGAACCCAAGCAGAGTTCTGAAAAGGGGATTTAGGATTTGCCGACTGTGCCGAAGAAACCTTCTTGGTTCTCAAAACTCACCGTCAAACTTTTTGTACCGGGAGCCAAAGGTGGTTTGCAAGTTATTGCTAAGTTCAGAGACGGCGTTCCGGAAATCGTGTTTGCTCTGCTGGCTGTATTTCTCCTCCATTTCTTGTGAGCAGCAGGTGTAGCCTTGAGGGCAAACTTTCAAGTGATCACCTGAAAAACACGGGAAAAGATGGGAGCACACAGGTAAGTACACAAAAGGTTGGTGTGTTTGGGGGTCAACAGATGGAGAGGTGGCTGCTACTCCGGCACAAAACACACCGATTTATTTACTTTTTAAATAATATTTCTACCCCCTACATGAAAGATTATATACTGGGCGGTCACAGGGTAACGTCGTCAACCCAAGACAGCCTTCAAGCAATTCTTTTTAAACAATCCAGAAACTACTCAGACTCTTTAAAACTATTGAAAATAATACGAAGTAGAAAGGAACAAACAAAGTCAGGAGAGGGCATCCAATCCAGTCAGATGGAAGCCAAGCTACGACAATCCCAACCCAAACGCTGAGGGAAGCGGCCATGTTTTCACCGGGCACAAAACGGGCAGGGTGGCACCGCAGACTGTCCTTTTGCCAGTTTGCCAGTCAACAACCCATGCGGCAGTTGCCCTCACAATTTTTTTTAGGTGGTCCCCTGAATCTGGGGGAGGGGGGGGAGGAAGAATGTGTGCAAGACGGATTGACTCAATAAAGGATGGTGTTTGTGAGACCGGAGTTAAGGATAGGAGGCTCCGGGGGTTGTCGATTGACGGGGTATCAGAAGCGACGTGATGGTACAGAATCATAATGACGACCGCAAGAGAATGGGTTGGGGGTTAAGAACACGGTACTGGAATTCTTCGCCCCAAAACTGAATGAATACTAGTGCATATTTAGATTTTCCAGAACACAAACCAGGCCACCCCCAGTTCATCTCGGCTTCTTTTAAACCTTCTGCAGACACGGTTTCCGGGCTTGGGGTTAGGTTCAGCTTTCCCCAATCCAGCATGCAGCTTGGGGATGATAGGACTTTTAGTCCAACACGCCTGGACATCTCCAATATGCAAAAGGCTGGTATAGGTGGCCCCAGCTATTTCAGCACAGCGTGGGCAAGGTAAAACATTGTGCCAGCCGGGCAGCTGTTGGGCCGGAAGACAGTTCAGGTCATCATGACCCTTGGCTGTCAAAACTCTGGCCATCCTTCCTTCCTTTCCAGAAACGTTATAGTTGGGATTCCGGACTCAATAATATGATCCTCCCCTCCCCAAACGCCAGCTTGGATCATCCTCTTCTTTATGGTTTACAACTTCCTCTACAACTGGTTATAAAAAGACGCCAGGGCTCATCCCATTCCATAATGGAGTTGCGGTCTCCTTATCAAGGGATATTAGGGCTCACCTTATCATCGCTAAGTAATGAGCAACTGGGGAAAGGACATCCTAGAAGTCTGAAAAAGGAACAAATGACTCAAAGCTTTGGTGGGTTGGAGCGTCACTCTGTCGGGGGGGCCAAGACGGTGTGTGGCTCATGAGATTTAACCCAAAGCTTTACACACAGGGACCGAAACACACAGAAACCAGACATGAGTTTTCTCTCTCCTTGGTCACCTAGACCGAATTTGTAAGTCGCCACAGGCGACCACAGCCAAATGGTACAGTACTTTGTGACTTTGAAGACGATCCCACCCAAACTGGACTGGCAGAAACGAGGGAGCACACTAAGAAAGAGAGAGAGAAAAAAAGAGGATCACAGCCATTCCTTGTCCCCCACACGGGTTCAAATTTTAGCAGAACATTATTGGGGCACTTTTCATAACAAAAGGTCCACCCGATACACTGCCCATCAGACTAAACTAAATTCCTGCAAAATTGCCAAGTGCCTAAGAAACCAGTATGGGTACCACCCAAATCCCACAGGAAGGGCAAACTATTTTCAGCAACATGCATTTTCTGTGTGTGTGTGTGTGTGAGTCTGTGTGCGTGTAAACTCAGCTACCAGTTGGTTGTCTGGGCCTAAAGAATATACCGTTCCCCTCTGTGACACAGCTGCCCACCACAATGCAAAAAAAATCCTAATTATTCCTGAGGCATGTGCTGAAAATACGCTAACACAACCCAAGGCTGTCTGGATTTTAATTTTAATTTTTCTTTCTCTCTTTTCATTTTACTTGCCGACAGCTCAGGGCCGGTGGATTTACTACCCAGAGAACTGCCAGACGCTGGGGGGAAAATATGGGAGAGATTTATGCTCCGGTGCAAAAAAAACGCACATTAGAACACTTAATACTGCTCGGGAATTAAAAGGCAGGAGGAGAAAAAGGGAGACGGACGGGTGGGGGTGAGAGAGGCATATCGCCCTCTCTTCCATTGCAGCCCCACATTTCCCACTCCAAATACATATTTCACAACTCCGCTGCTCAGTCCGAGAAATCCCGCCACCGCACAAATGAATGAAATAAAATAGCCGGCGTTGGGAGCCAGCTGGAATTTTCCTCATAAAAAAAGAGCCTTTCCAACATCCCCATATAAAATTTAAGGGGTCATTTAGCCCCCGCAACTAAATTCAAGGGCGACACAGAAGCACAGAAAGATGTCAGTCTCTTGGCTCATTTGATCCAGTTTTGCCAACTCTGGCTGGCAGCCATGGATCTCCAGGTTTCCGGCGAGATTCTCTCTCAGTCCTACATGCCAGTCTCCCTCCCCAGGCTTGACCCTGCTTAGATTCTGAATCCAGACAAGGTTGGGTAGGTTCAGGCTAGGGACAGTGGTGTTTGGATACTTCAATGAAACAATTGTAATTCCTGCCCCATCTCACCTATTTATTGCAGTTCCCAATCTTGGGTCTCCACAGATGTTCTGGGGCTACAACTCATTTTTACTGGCAACCGTTATAAGGATGCTTCCCTTTCGTGTTTTTCGGCACAAATGGATTCTGACTTCGACAGACACTGGGGGTAAAGATGTGGGAGCTTTCAGAGAACTCCTCCAGTGGGGTGGGCTAGATAACCCTTGGGTTCCCTTCCAGCTTGACAGGTCTGTGGCACTAAGACCAAGATTGTTATAAACCAAACAAGAGCAAAGCCACTGAGATGAACTGTTGGATAGCTCAGGGGTTGAGGGCTCTGGGTTGGGAGTTCGATCCCCCACCGGCCTCCTTGACAGGGGTTGGACTCCATTAATCCAGAGGGCCCCGCTCCGCAGTTCTAAGATTATTAGGTGGCTGGATAGCACAACAGTTTAGGCATCTGGCTGCGAAACCATAAATTGAGAGTTCAATTCCCTACCGGAGCTCGTTGAGAGGGGCTGGACTTAATGATCTAGGAGGTCCCTTCTAGTTCCGCAGTTCTAAGAGGATGGTGATTACGGAATGGCATTTACAACAACGAATAAGTAAGGAAACTATAAATTGAGAGTTCGATTCCCTACCAAAGCTCCTTGAGAGGGGCTGGACTTGATGATCTAGAAGGTCCCTTCTAGTTCTGTAGTTCTAAGAGGATGGTGATTATGGAATGGCATTTACAACAACGAATAAGTAAAAAGCGGTTTAAAGCATTCATCCCAAAGAACCTAACTGCTTAACTCAACTTAATAATTAAAAATACTTCCCTCAGGGTCACCCACACTCTTTGTCCAAATGCTACCCATAAGGACTAGCAGCTTTCTTTTTGAGGACAAATAATGAAATAAAGTCAGACAGCAACACACCCACGTCCGCCTGTTACTCTGGTAGAATCGTGACGCTCGAGTCTGTTCCGTGCCCTGTGAAGGGTTGCTCTTTGTTATTTTTCCCTTTGCTTTTTGAAAACTTATGTCGGTGCTGAAGACATCCAGAGGCGATTTTGACGAGTGGGAGGCTTCTCTTTTGACGAATGCGAAGGATTAAAGTTCTAGCCCAGACCACAGAGGTAGGTGGAGAAAGGAAAAATTAAACTCTCCTCTTCTCCACCGATGGCTTAGTGCACAAAGACACACGGCTATCTGTATGCAGTTCAGCTTGTTCAACAGTATATGTTCTTGCTTATATCTGTAAAAAGTATGTGACGGATCTCTTTGGCAAGAGAGTAAGACTGTAATGAGCTTTGAATGCTTTTTATGACCCCCTTTTTTATCCGTTTATGTTTGAATTTACTTGTCGTACCCCATTCCTGGAATTTTCTTGATTGAGGGCCATAGGTAACAAACAGACACGCAACATTTCTGCCACTGACACAAACAGCACAGAGGAAAATGTAAATTCACAAAGCTGAGTTCAGTCTTTTAGGCACCTGGATGTAGAGCCAGAGGTTGGGAGTTTGAATCCCCGCTTTGCCTCCTTGACCCAGAGGGTCCCCTTCCAGCTCTGCAATTCTAAGATAGTGACGATTATAAAACTCAAGAACGTTAAAAATCTATCCTATATCTTTTGTGCAACATTAGAACAAAAGAATAGGTACCGTATTTTTTGCTCCATAAGGCGCACCTTTCCATAAGACGCACCAATTTTTTAGGAGAAGAAAACAGGAAAATATAATCTGTTTTCTTTGCTCCATAAGACGCACAGACTTTCCACCCCCCTGTTTTGTGGGGAAAAAGTGTGTCTTATGGTGCGAAAAATACGGTATATAAAACAACGGCATATGCCATTTAACAAGGATGGAATGTTCCCCCCCCCTCTTTCCAAGTCTCAAACAATTAGGACCGACCAGTACTTTCCATTTCATATCGGTGGGTTCAGAAATGCCACATTCCGCACATAACTCTAATACAGGAATGGGGGTTTAATTCTAAATTCTCCCCATTCCCCCCTCCCCGCTACAACATCATTTCCTACATCAACCCACATCCTGCCCTTTCTGCAAGAACCAGGGCAAATTAATTAGGCTTAATCCTCGTTAGCTCTGTACGTTTCCCTTTGAATCTTGTTACCACATTCTTTCATGCAATCAACTGCCCTTAAAAAGGAGGGGTGGGGTGGGGGGGGGAGAGAGAAATCCCAGCATCCTATTACGCTGGTCTCTTTGCAAAGGTTATGACCTGCTTTTGCCTGCAGCCTTCTGACCCCTATGATTCCCGTCTGTCCCTGGCCTCCAGCTTGGAGATCTTCCCCTCCACATACCAATTTATATTTGCAGTTCATTACTTAAATCAGAAACGCCAGGCTAAAATGTTTAAAATGCAGGGGGAGGGGAAGGGGA